GCAGCTGCTTGATCACCAGCACTATGTGATATTATAGATGATGGATATATATTCCAAGAAACAAGTAAAGCTGCTAATGCAACTTGTATAGCAAATAATGGTGGTTGAACAATATTTGTATCATTAATACGAGATTCTTGTTCATTTTTCTTTTCAATTAATTCTTCCAATAATCTCCATTCACCATTATTAGTTTTTGTTATTTCTTCATCAGTTAAATGAATCTATTTATTAAATAAAGGTTCATTTTCATATAATCGTCTACCCATAGCCCACCATTGTGGACCTTAGCCATTAAAAATAAAACATATTTTCTGTGCTAATGATTTTGTTGGACGTGATATGATTGAAATGCCTGGTAATGGTTGTTAAGTAAGAAAAGCATTAATTTGTTCTTGTAATTGTTGACGATTGAGAAAAACAAAGATTACTGAATGTGTATAACTAATAGTTCTTTTTAGAAGAAGTTGTTGAGATATACGTTGAAGAAAAGCTTGATGATCATTATTATCTATATCGTTGATTGATCGTTAAGAGATTGACGACTTTTTGCTGAATAAGAAGAAATAAATTATTTAATGAATGAAAAGATATGAAGAACTTACTTGAAAAAATAAAAATAAAATATTATTGTCTGCTTTGAATATGATTTTCATCGATATGACCATTTACAGTTGATGTTTTATTTGGTTGATATTCTTCAATAATAGCATGTGTAGTTGTATCAACCATTCCAAATGAATTAACACCTATAGGTATTTTTCATTATTTGGAAGAGTTGGAAATGGTACAAAATTTTGAAGAATATGTAAATTATATTTTTATGCTTCTGTTTTAGGATTAAGTGAAGTAAATTGCATATTTGCTGTAATACCACGATGATACATACACATAGCAACTTTCATAAGTGATGCAACACCAACTGCACCTTCTGTATGTCCTAAATTACTTTTAATTAAATCTAATAATAATGGTGGATCAAGATTTGATCGATTAAAGAATCGATCTAAACAATTAGCTTCAATTGGATCACTGACTGGTGCACCTGTGGTACTTAAGTAAATTAATATAAACGATAAAATAATTGAAGAGATAATGGTAGGTGCCTGAAACAGATAATATCTTACTGTATTATTTGGATGAATGAAAAAGTGTATAAGACAATACGAAGAATAAATTTTTTTTTATATATGGACTGTTTAAACTAAACACAACATGTAGGAGTGATATTAACATACGATTGAAGAGTATGAGAACGACATACCTATTCTTGATCATATAAAAAGAAAAGCACATGTATATGTACAAAAAGGTGTATTTGAGAAAAAAAACAGTATAGAATAAATATAGATTAAGAATATCGATAGAAGAGTATTTAAGATAAATGAAGATTGTGTTATTTACATTAATTTAAATAGCTATATCATTTCGGTGTTAACTGATAATAATGTACAGTTTATACTATATCTTTTTTGACGATAAAATAAATAATACGCAATATAGAATTATTTATTTAAAAATGTGTAGTTTTATTGAAAAAAAAAATGTTTGTTTTAGGTATGAAATGTCTATTCTATTCCGTTAAAAATCAATTGATAGCATTAGTTAACTTGAAAACAATCAGTGTAAAAGTAATACTTTATTTGATTAAAAAGCATAGTGTAGTTTCTCAATTAAGAGATCAAAAAACTTCATTTAAATACTTAAGTTGTCGTTTTTTTTTTGCTAAATCCTATAAATGTTTTTAGTTAAAATCTGTGTAGATTATATTATGTGGTGAACATAGAACGAAATGCTTTTATAATCCTATTAAAATCGATTTTATATACAAGATCATTATAAATTTCGGTATTCAAACGATTTATCATTAATATAAAATAACAAACGAATCCATCCTATCAGTCTCATATATTTCAATTAGTATCTAATCGTAAGAATTGACTTTTAACTTTGAAATGTAGCACATTTTATTTGAAATTTTTCAAATATAAATATATTTGTTAAGTATCGTCTACATCAACATATCTTTTTTATTTCACATAGAAGAATATTTAGCTTGATTATTGTTCATTGGCAATGACTATAAATTAAAGAGATAAAAGAAATAAAATTCAATAGGATAAGTGAAGAATGAAAGCAAGATAGAAACGAAAGAATATCCTTCATCGATCATTATTTTATCTTGTCACATACTTTCTATCTTTGCAATTAGATTCGAAGGATAAATTATACAAACAAAATAGCAACAATAAAGAAGAAAAAATATACTTGAGTAATACACACAAATAAAGAAAAGACAGTGTTTATGTCCTTGTATTAATAACGAGAAAGAAAAGAATATAACAAGTAATACCTTGTAGAATATCTTCTCAATACATCAATCACATATTTTTTTTTTGTTATTTTCTTATTAAACGATACATGATTGAATATTTAACAATTTCATATCCTACCATAATTAGTTCAAAATGAAATTTGTATTGATATTCAACTATAATCGAAGTATAATAAAAAAAAATATTTATTTTAATTCTAAATATAATCTACAAATTATTTTTATATCCCGGTAGAAAAATATTTTTTTTTAATATAATTTTTGTTTTCCGGTTTGAGTTCTTCTACAAATAAAGACGAGTAAAGAAAAA